TTCTCAGTGTTCTCTTCTGTCAAGTAGAGTAGTAGGAACTTCTTCAAACTTCTCAGTTGCTGTGATAATTAGAGATAATGTTTGTGAAGTGCCACCTTACACCATGGGTTCTCCTGGTTCTGGGGCCTTAGGACTCAGACCAGAACTATACCACTGGTTTTCCTGGCCTCAGCTGTAATCAGGAATCCACACCTGGAATCGCAGGATCGTGTGGTGAGTCATAAGAAGTGGGTGATTCATAGCAAGGTACCCAGAAGCTGCTGGCCAAATATCTGTCGTCTGTGGAACCTTCCACACTAGGCAGCTGATGCCACAGGAGCAAGACGACTCCCGCTTCAAATATCACACCAGCAGCTCCTGCGGGAGGACTCTAAACTGGACCTCTGCCAGGGACCGTGAGTCTGGGAAATGTTGTCTTGAGGCCTCCAACCCTGTGGTAAAGGGAGAGCTTAGAAGGATTCTTTTTTTAAAAAATTCGGAGATGGGACGCCTGGGTGGCTCAGTCGGTTGGGCGTCTGCCTTCAGCTCGGGTCATGGTCCCAGGGTCCTGGGATCGAGTCCCGCATCGGGCTCCCTGCTCCACGGGGAGCCTGCTTCTCCCTCTGCCTCTGCCTCTCTCTCTCTATCTCTCATGAATAAATAAATAAAATCTTTAAAAAAAAAAATCGGAGAAAAGACATGAATCTATAAGGTGAAATTATATTAACTTCAATAACCAAAAAATTGTTCTCCTTCTTCCTTCCACACAGCGAAGGCCAGCAAAGGCCCACGATTTTAGCTGTGAAGGTGCTGGCAGGTGCTGTGGGTGCTCCTGGCCCTGGACTCTGGCTCTGGCACTTTCTCCTAGAAGCCCGCAAGATGTGGGTGATGTTTACTGTTCATGGGTCACTGACACTAGCACACATTCAACTCTGCTACTCCCCAAAACTAGTCACCAAAGTGAAGGTTAACCGAGTCCAGAAAAGGAAGTTGACTGTTTAACCCAGGCTCGGGAGAGGATTTTGCACCCACCAAAAAGAGGGGGGCAACTTCCTGTCTCGTATGAATTAAAAGCTCACGTGTGTGGAAGCAATCCGCCAACCAACTGAAAGAACTCTCCAGCATTCTTTCCACGATTCGACAAACCCACAGCTACCAATGACCTCATTTCTACAAATAGTATTTACCCTGGTTCATAAATTCCATTCGTGACCAGAATGTGGATTGATGTCTCCACGGGTATTTGTTACCCAAGTCATACGCTGGTATTTTCCTGAGACATTACATCAACAATAAAAACCACTGGAGAAGCGGTTAGTACTTGAGACTCTCGAACTCACGGGTGACAAGCACTGTTCAGAGATCAAAGTGTGTTTGGTTGTTCCGTCTGCCTCCTGTCATTGCCCTCACTGACCATGAAAACAGCTCTTCTGAACCTCACGTCGGCCAGGCATGTCAGCGTGAGGCCATTTTGCAGTATTCCAACAAAGCTCTGAATCTCACCTCACAGAGCGAATTAGCCAAATGACGACGTAGGGGAAGCTGAGTCAACGATAATGCGGATAGGAAAAAACTGGGGCATCTGGAGAAAACTCTATGATGCTCCAAAAAAAAAGTAGGCTATGGAATGATATTCCCCATGGTTACAGAGGGTTATACCTGGGCTCAGAGAATTAAGAGAATTGACCGAAGACTAAATGAAAGGCCTGGATTTGAACGAGGGATATGCCAGATCATTCTGCCTCCCAGAATTACTGGCAATAGGAGAGGGAATTCAGTAAAGAAGGCTATTAGCAATGAGAAAGCATGATGAGCAAAATTATAAATTAGCACGCTGGCTAATTTTTCTGGGGAGATAAGTGTTATTTGAACAAGACAATATCCTTATTAAAATTGCCAACGTGTAAACATACCCTCAAGTGAAGTTCCACAAATGTCCAGATGGATGAAATTCAATCAAGGAAATTCAAATACAGGATCACTTACTGATTTGTTACCAGCTATGCTTAAGGAAGGCGAGAAGATTTGGGAGCCACATTTATTACTAGATTTAATGACACAGCTGCCTGTCCTGTCTCTTCTACTGCATTCCAGATTCCTTCAGGTAAGGGATGGGGATCTCTTTTTGTATCAACCATTGAGAGACGGTATTCCAATGGACAGCATTGTTAATGAGCAGCATTGGCCTTCCTTGATTTACATGCAGTGACTGTAAACCCAGATGCTTCAGGGACCAAGCTAGCAATGAAATGAGCAATGAGGAAAGGATGCAAAATAATACAGAGTGAGGAGAACTGTAGAAAACCCCAGCATGGTGCCCCATCTAGAGAGAGCAGTAGATATTCAGCTCAGGTAAGCGTTGCCAACAATGAATCTGGGCCCAGTGATATCAGAGTTTCCAGTTTTTAAAGAGGGGCTAAAAATGTCTATTGTCCATACAATCTTCTGATTTTTTTATTTACTTTTTATTTTTTATTTTTTATTTTTTTTTAAACTTGTCAGTTTCACTTTTTTTTTTTAAGTTTTTATTGGGCACTTTTCCATGATTGTCACCTCTTGGTATAATTACTCACAATAATCTCTTTTATATAAGTGTTTTAGAAACCACTTCTCTCACTAGCCAAGCCAGACCAGTTAGAAGAGGTTTTTGTTTTTGTTTTTTAAGATTCTATTTATTTGACAGAGAGAAAGAGAGAGAGCATGAGCAGGGGGAATGGCAGGCAGAGGGAGAGGGAGAAGCAGACTCCTTGCTGAGCAAGGAGCCCGATGTGGGGCTTGATCCCAGGACCCTGGGATCATGACCTGAGCTGAAGGCAGACGCTTAACCGACTGAGCCACCCAGGCACCCCAGTTAGAAGAGTTGTGAAAGAAAAACAAATCTTTTTAAATCACAAGAGTAATTCATGGCTATGAAAAACTGAAACAAATCCCAAGTGCATAGAGTAAAAACAGAAAGTTCCTGTTTGCTCCTCTCTAATGCCAGGAGGTGTACATTAGCACGTGGGTGTTTTTATCCCCGATCTTCTGTTCTTTTGTATGTGCACACACAAGCACATGCACACACACACACAAATATGTATTTTGTGCATTTTAATATCTTAAGGGTAAATAGCAAAATGCTGTACATACTGTTCCATATTATTCTGGGACCTGCTTTGTTTATTAGACACTGTGTTGGAGGTGAGTATCTGTGAAGTTTTCCAACCAACTTTTATAAAGCTTGTAGATGATTCATGAATATATGCATGAAGTATAACTAAAAATGCTTTCCTTGAATTCAGAAGCTTATTTAGAGGCTTTAAAATTTTGATAACCAAGTGGGATATTTCTACCCAGATCTATGTAATACATAGTCTTAGAAAGTGTTATGTTAGCTGAATTTGTACATTGAATCGTATTATAAAATGTCCAGGAAACTGGTTATTGGAAATAATTCAACAATGAGTGATATACATAGGGAAAGCTCTTTAGGAATAAAAATGACCATCCCTAATATGCCACTTGTAAAGAGTCAAATACAGTTTTTTTTGTCTTACGTTGGAGCACTCAGTACATGAGCTTGACCAACCCCAGTGCAAGCCTGATGGAATTGGAAGAAATTACTTACTTTTCTTTATTTGATGTTTTGACATGTTTTATCAAAGCATAAGCCAAACAAAGAGAAGGACTGAAACCTCCTTGGTACGAAAGATCTCTCCCTTCCTTTGGATTCTATACGTAGGTATAGCATGCTAAAATTTACACTATTCCTCATAAAGTCTTCAAAATCCACCAAAACTTATTAGGAAAAAAAAAGTATTTTTTATGATATGGCTTGATTCAACTGGATTCAAACCAAGAAGTCCTGACTGAAATCAAACTCTTAACCAATACTCATGCTTGTGAGAGCATGTGCACGGGACCATTCTTCAAATATCTGCTGCAGGGGAAATCCAAGACCCTAGCCTCTTTCTTACTGGTTGCCCTCTTTCTGCCCTCCTGTTTGCAGGAACATCACCTGTAACTGTCTTCTTTTAAAGCAAGGTTTAAGCTGATATTTCTCCCAAGCCGAAAGGGTTTTTTCCCCTCCTAAGAGAATTTATGTTTGATGATTCGTTGAAAATATCCAAACAGAAAAAATGGTTTTCATTAGTTAGAAGAAAAGAGTAGCACCATGAACAACACAAGATGGGGTCTGTGCTTTATGGTTGGTTCAAAATGTTACTGAACCAGAGAGCCCATGGAGCCTAGGGCTTAGGTCAATTTATCAACAAATGCTATGTCTCTAGTCTGCTGAGGCTATTAATCATACTTTACATAGTGTATGTACAAAGATATACATTAGCATTAAAAAAAACCCTGCCAGCAATCAAATTCATATGTAGCAGTTTGCAAATTCTGAAAGGGTGGTGTGCCAAAAGTTTGCTTGGATCTCAGAATGCATTACCCATATAAAGTGACTAGATTTCCAGCAAAGCCCAGGAAGCAATTTGATTCATTTTGAGGGGAAATATTATTGGTAGAGTCACTGAATTCCAGAATCTCTTAGGAAGCCCAGATGGTGTTGCCCTCTCCAACACCCCAGGGGGCTAGGGCGGGGTGGGGGTTTAGGGAAGCAGGGTGGGGACCGGTGGTTTCCATGGCAGCAAGAAGCCGCCTCCAGCAGCAAGAGGTGGGTGGGGCCATGGTGATGCCCTGCCAGGGGACAGAAAGGTGGGAAACTGTTCAAGTCTGAGTCCGAGAGCCTCAGTTTCCGTGTTCTGTCAATTCCTGGATGTCTGAGTTGGGCCTCTTCAGGCCATGAGTAATAGAAATGGGGAATCCAATACCAAGGATTTGCGGATGGCACAGGAAAGGACCTCACAATGACTGCAACAGACACCATCGAACTGCCTGGGCGGGGTGGGGGAGGGGGGGTTGTTGCTCGCCTTGCCTGCTTCCCTGCACACCTGTCTCATTTCTTCCTCACCAGCACATGGCGGAGTTGTCTGCTCCATGTCGTAAGCTCTGGTTTCTAAGTTTTCTTCTCTTTCGTTCAGCAGATGCTGCCTGGGGTCTTGGAATCCAAATTCCCAAAGAGGAAGCATTTGGTGAGTCCCAATCGGGTCAAGTGTCCAGCCCAAGGCCAGCCGGCTCTGGCTCAGGGGGGCCAGGTCACATGGCCCAAACATGACTGCTGGCCTCCCCTCCAATTCATCCCTCTGCCTGCCCATGGGGAGCCAGCCTGGGCGCAGACCCTGCACAAAGTATCTAATACATTTTATAATTTGGGGAAAAAATCACATCTCAGAGCCTCACCTAAAATGGAGAGAAAACCACTTGCCTCTCAGAGTGGTAGAATTTACCTGCAACAATTTGAAAATGAGTTGTAAACTCTGAAAGCTCTAGAAATGGTGAGATTTTACTCCTAGTCTAGGTCACCTTTCACTGAATGAGTATATAGTGAGCACTTCGTTCACATGGGAACGCTTTCTAACACAAACACAAAGATAGTAAAGACAAATTCGGGGACTAGCATGCTAATGTAGTAAGAGAGAGAGTATGTTTTGGAGTCACAGTGGCCTGCACTGAATCCTCCTTCTGCCACTTATCAGTTGGGAGCTTTGGACACGTTTCTTCTTTCTGAGCCTCAATCTTCTCGTCTGTAAAGTGGGAGTATTACTCCTTATGACAGCCTACATGGCCCTATCGGATCTTGGTAGGGCAGGCTCCTTCCTTTTCTTCAGGTCTTTACACAAATATCCCTTCTCAGAGGTAACCTTCTCACCTAATATGCCTTCCCCCTTCCCAGCACCTTGCTCCGTACCACAGCACTTAACCCCTCCCTAAAACTACATCTTACTTGATTTCTTATTAGCTATGCTCCCTACTGAAATATAAGTTTCATGATCCAAGGGCTCTGTTGTTGTTGTTAAACTTATGTAGGCCCCAGCCTGAAACAGTGCCTCCTCTTAGTAAATGTACATACTGTCACACAGGGAGAACCCCGTGCGACAACAGAGAGATTGGAGCGATACTCCCACAAGCCAAGGGCCACCAAGGATTGCCAGCAATCACCAGAAACAAGGAGAGAGGCACACCACAGATCCTCCCTGTGAACCCCCAAGAAGGAAACAACCCTGTCCACACCTTGATTTTCGACTTCTGGCCTCCAGAACTGGGAGGGGATAAATTTGTGTTGTCTGAAGCCATCCAGTTAATAGTCATTGGTCACAGCAGACCTAGGAAACTAACACAGTACTTATTCAATCCATGGAGGTTATCATTATTTGTGTTAAGAATGTAGCTCTCACTACAATAACCTCAGTAGACAAGGCGAGCAGTCGTCATATAACTGCCTTTACTGGGATTCTCCACCGCTCTGAGAACACACCCACCCAGTTCACCTTGGGTTGGACAGGTTTTCCAGACCAGGTTTAGTCCCTTTCTCTACCGGCATGGTCGTCCTGTGGGCTTCCAAAGGTACTCCGGGACCAGAATCAGCTCTGTCTGGCGCCTTGGCCAACACTGGACCGGAGCTGCCTGAACATGACATCCAAGTCAAGAATAGCATTGTTTGGAAGCACCCCAAATGTTCATCAGTGGGTGACTGGTAAAATATAGCTTCTCTTCCACTGATACAGAACAATCTCTAATTATATCATAAGTAAGAGAAGCAAGACCAAGAACATTATGTAAAGAATGTGACCATTTGTATTCAAAAAAACAAACAGTAGATTCACATTTGCTTGTCTATGCAATGAAGTAAAATTCCACTTGAGAAAGTCCTTTAAGAAATCTGAATTACTGACATGGGCCTGTGATGACGCTCCCACCCCCCCCCCTCCCCCACCCCACCCCCGCCGCGCAGCTTCTCCCTGCCCCCACGTACCATTCATCTGATAGCCAGCCTCCTCAGTCATTGTCTGGAAACACAGCTTTTCTCAGGTTCTTCGTTTGCTTTCCAATGGCTTTTCATGACCTCAAACATCTACCACAAACTTTATAATCTGCCATTTGGGGCCCCCTGCTTACATAGGGACACAATTTCTCTTTCTCATGTCACTCCCTTACACAGTCCGGGAACTCTCCCCTCCAACCAAACACAAGTGCTCACTGACCCCAGACACAACAGCCATTTCTATTTTACTGAAGGGTTTTGACAAGAATGCGTGTTGACTTTTGTCACATGACTTTTCTGCATGTGTCCAAATGCGCTTGTCCAAGTTTCCCAGGGCTACAGTCACAAAGTACTACAAACTGGGTGGGTTCAAACAATAGAATTCTTTAACTCACAGTTCCGGAGGCTGGAAGCCTGAGATCTGGGTGTTGGCAGGGCCACCTCCTTCCCAAACCCCTTTGGGGAGTCCCTCCTTGCCTCTTCCTGGTTTCTTGTGGTTTGCCAGCCATCTTTGGCCTTCCTTACAGCTGCGTAACTCCAATCTCTGCCTTCATCTTCAATGGTGTTCTCCCTGTGTGCCTGTCTTCACAGGGCCATCTTCTTAGAAGCACACTCGTCACATTGGATCAGGGGCCTACGCTACTCCAGTGTGACCTCATCTTAACTAACTACACCTGCTGTGACCCTATTTCCAAATAAGGTCCCATTCTGAGGTACTGGGTGCTAAGACTTCAACATATCTTTTGGGGGGAGGGGACACAATTCAACATATATAACAAATCATATGACTTTTCTCCTTAGCACTATTAATACAATGGATCATATTGGTGGATTTTTTTTGTTATTTAATGATGCTTGTTCATGTTATGACTGGAACCAGTCTCACTTAGCCACAATACATTCTTTTATAAATGGACTTTGGATTTCAGCTGTTGATATTTGATATTTGATATTTGATTTTTGAACCCTACTCACAAGTGAGAGTCTTCTGTTTTTTTCCTTTTGGTGCTCTTTCAGTTTTGAGATCAATATCATAATGGCTTTAATAACAGGAATTTTGAAAAATTCTTTCTTCTAGAATAAGTAGCTTTGAGATTATCCATTCTTTAAAGGTTGGGTAGAATTTCCCTGTGAAACTATCTAGGCTAAGTTCTTTTTATGGGGGAGAATTTGAGCCCCTTTATCTCGGTCTGTGATAATTGCCGTGTTAGACATTCTTTACTGGGGCCAATTTTAGGTAAGTTGTTTCTTTCTAAAAAATTATCTATTACATCTGCATTTTCAGATCTGTTTGCAGAGGGACATGGGAAGTACCCTCTAAAGACTTTTAAAATTTCCTCTGCTTTTGGTGATTATTTTTCCTTAGCATTTCTAATTTTAAGCTTTCATCTCTTTTCCTTTTATTCTTTCTTTGTCATACTAGTGGTTTTTCGATTTTGTTAATTTTTTCCAAAGACTCTTTTTGGATTTATTTATCAGTTTCATTGTTTTTCTCTTTTCCAACTTAATAATTTTTGCTTTCAGTTGTCTTTAAGGTGGCAGATTTGTAAGGTAATTCTGATCCCAGATTTGAGAATTACAGCTGTGGTACATGTAGTTTTTTACTAGAAATTAGTCTTCTGATGCCCTAGGTATTCCATTACACATGTTCTCATGTCATTGCACATTTTTTGTGTGTGTATGTGCATCTTATTTCTGCAACAGATGGAAGCTCTTTGAGGCCAAGGCTCTGTATCATATCTGTTTGGGATGATAAATATTGATATTGTGGAGATGAGGTTAGAAAGTTAATGTAGGTGTGAGAACCTATAGTAGGCAGTGTCCAAAATGGCCCCTGGTAATCCAAACATCCTACTATTCATGCTCTTGTCTTTTTTTTTTTTTTAAAGATTTTATTTATTTATTTGACACAGAGAGAGATAGCGAGAGCAGGAACACAAGCAGGGGGAAGTGGGAGAGGGAGAAGCAGCCTTCCCGCCGAGCAGGGAGCCCGATGTGGGACCCGATCCCAGGATCCTGGGATCATGACCTGAGCCGAAGGCAGACACTTAACGACTGAGCCACCCAGGCACCCTCATGCTCTTGTCTTATACCCTCTCCCGTTGAATGTGGGCTGGACCTACAGACTGGCTTCTAGTAAGGAGACGGTGACAAAAGTATTGGGGTGTGACCTCCAATATCAGATCATAAAAGATGGCTACTTTGTCTTGCTCTGATTCTGTCTCGGATTCTCTCTGTTTGATGAAGGAAGCTGCTGGGTTGTGAGCTGTCCTATGGAGACACCCGTATGGCAAGGAAGAGAGGGTGGCCTCTGGCTAATGGCCCACAAAGACTGGAAATCTACCAACCACCACTTACGTGATTGTGGAAGCTAATCTATCTACTCCTTTAGCTGAGCCTTGAGATGACGGAAACTTTGTGAGGAACCCAGAGCCAGAGGACCCAGTTAAGATGCTCCTGGACTCCTGCCCCACAGAAACTTCAAGATAATAAATGCTCCAATTTTAAGCCACTATTTGTGGGATAATTTGTTATGCAGCAATAGATAACCAATACAGAATCCCAACCCTGGATATGTCTTGATCTAGGAAATATTGCCAAGTTGAAAACTGAATGGTTTGGTTGAAATGTGGAAGTGACCTGCTCTGTAGAGAGAGAACTCTAAATCAGAATTTAAAATAATGCAGTTAATACCAAAGTTTTTCATTTAAAAGGCATTTTGGCATCGACTTCTTTTAATTCCTCATTTTGATTCAACAAAGAGATGACAGGTTTCCCTTTGAATTTACTTATTTTTAGTGCTTTCTTTAAAAAAAAAATTGTATCTGCACATGAGTATTTAGAATGTGTCAAATTAAAGACAGACTGCCTAGATAAAATTGGGCAGATGATGGGTGGAATTATAACATAGATTTATATTTTACAACATTTAAACCAACACTGGTTTGATTTCCATACCTGATTGTCCACCAAAAATCTGTCCTCCCTGCTTTCACAGAAATATAGTTAAAGCTGGACATAGGCTGTCCTGCTAGAGATAATATTTGCAAGCCTGTCTTGGGCCATGTGACTGTGTTCTTACTAATGGAACCTAAGCCGCTGCTCAGGACACTCAGGAATTTCAGATGTGCCCATCACCCAGCTTCAATCATGCAGAAGACGACAGTGACCTTGGGCTTGGTCCCAGGGGGGGTGGGGCAAGGGTCATGATGAAAAGAATCTGAGTTACTGTGTACTGTCATGGAGCAGGGCCTCCTACTAACCCAGACTTCTCACCTTGGAACTCTTATATGAAAGGGAAATAAAAAGCTGTGTTCTTTAAGCCACTAGATTTGGGGTCTCTTTGTTACAGTAGCTTAACATTTACTCTAATGAATACTTCCATTGCCGTTCCTTTAAAATATGTCACTTAGTAATTATTATATATACACAATTAAGCAAAGTACAAATACCTGGATTTCTGCCCTGGGGGTGAAGGAGGGGAGCCAGCAAAATCTATTTCTCCCAGGCATGGCTAGTGTTAAACTGTCCAAACAACTACAGGTTATTTTTCCTGAATCAACTTTATTTATTAAATGCATGACTTCAGGCTACCTTGTAACTTCTCCACTAAATGTTATGCTAGAGCAGTCCTTCAGCCTACCACTTCTCGAGGACATTGATTTTTGTTAGATTGGTTGCGAAGTTTATGTTCAGAACATCAGCCTGTGCCCTAAAAGAGAGGATCAGGGGAAGCATGCGGATCACTGCCAGAAGTCACTGCCTTTTCAGTCTCGCTCAAATTGTTCAGAGCCAAATCCTCCTGAAGATTCCTTCCTAAATTGAATGGCTCTGGCCCAATACAGAATGCTACGGCTATCTCACCAGGTTGCCTTAAAGAGCTTATCTAAAGATTTTTCACAATAGCCTTAACAAGACAAGAAGCACAGATTATTATTTTATCACAGGAAAAAAAACCAAAGCACACTGTGATATCACAAGTCCCTGGAGGCTGGAGCCATTACTTGGTCCTCCAAGGAGATAAAGTACATTATCTGAATGTGCAAGTCTTTGGTCTTATGTTACATGCGCCATGCTTGCTTTGCTTCTTTTTTCTTTTTTTTTTTTAAGATTTTATTTATTTCTTTGACAGAGAGAGACACAGCGAGAGAGGGAACACAAGCAGGGGGAGTGGGAGAGGGAGAAGCAGGCCTCCCGCCGAGCAGGGAGCCCGATGCGGGGCTCGATCCCAGAACCCTGGGATCATGACCTGAGCCAAAGGCAGACGCCCAACGACTGAGCCACCCAGGAGCCCCTTGCTTCTTTTTTCTAATTGAGAGAAAGGAAAATTAAAGCATTAAATCTCAGAGATACACCCCTCAAGTGTCTTCACGGGAGAACCTATTTCTTTCACACATAAAAAGAATAGGTCCTGCCTTAGTCCAACTTTAGCTTTTAAAACTAAACGATAGGGTTTTGTCCCAGGGGCTGTAAATGACAGCGACGTTGGGGAGAGGAGCTGTCTGCTTCCAGGACAGGATAGCTCTGTGTGTCACACAGCTGGATTGTGAGAGCAGCCCTGCACTTCTTTTGTAAACTAAGTATCTCCCAAGTGTCATTGCTTTCTTTGTCACTTTGATCTTGCTCTCCATCAGGATTGGGAAGGAGAGCAGAAACTAAGGCATGAGGGAGACCAAACCATCCTTGAAAGCTACATCCTAAAGACTTCCTGATCCAAAAGGACAGCTGGATAAACAGGAAAGTGGCAGGTGTTTGTTCATAGCCATTTGTGCAACCAAATACTCAGTAGGCTTTGCATGAGCTACCAGTAACAGGCAACCTCCTGCTGTCAGCTGAAGACAGAAAGACAAGGATTGCACTTTTGCTGCAGGCTGATCAGCTCCGCCTAATTTGACTGTGCATCTCACTCCTTGTCAGGAAGTGCAGAGGCCCTCGTGGGGGGAAATCTCAGCGCTCCTAGGGGATTCAGGAGGGAGGGAGGAAAACCAAGGGCACCTGCAGTACGTTTCCTTTGCTCCTCGCCTTCTGAGATCTTTAAAGCAGGCAGGGGTGCGGTGAGATGTCACATCCTCCTCCCCGCCCTTCACCTGGTTCCATTAGGGTCTAAAGGTCGTGAACGACCTTGTTGCGCCTCTCCAGTGCCCTTTTGTAATCAGAGGCAGAGCAAAAAAAGAAGTAGAAGGGAGGGGCAGCATCATCTTTCCCAATGCAGAAAACTGAGAAAGAGTAGCGTTTCCTCCACACCCGTCTAAAAGTGTTCACCACTTGCCAAATCACAAGAGCAGGCGCAAGGACTCAGAGGATGATTCATGTATACTTTCAACCTCCTCGGTTCTTGAGCAAGGTCGAGGAGGTCGTGCTTCGGGGAGACGTTGCATCACAGTTTGGGAAAAACTTGGGGATTTTCCTTAGAGGGCTCATTCTTCCAGGAAGCAGGCAAAGAAAGACAGGAGTAGACGCCTGGGTGCGGGAAGCTGGAAAGAAATCCGACCTCACCTTGGGCTCAAGAGTGAAAGTGGGGTCACTCCGGGACCAGCCCGCGCATGGCAGGAAGGACTCCCGTTGGTCTACACGTGCTCGGCCGCTCCCCATTAAGTGGCACTTCCGCGCCAGCCCGAAGGGACCGGCGGGGGGTGGGGGGGGTGGGCGCGGTGGCACAAAGAGAGGCGCGGTTTAGACACCTGTGCGCCTCCGCCTAGTTGCAAGCAGGCCGGACGCCAGGGACCGCCCGAGCCCTTCCGAGCCCGCGGGGAGGGCAAGGAGGGCGGACGTGCCCCGCGCGAGGTGGAGGAGGTCACCTGGGCGGCCGCGCGCGCGGGTCGGCGCTAGGACCCGAGCGGCGCACCTGTTGGCTGGCGCCCCGGGCCCCGCCCGCCCTCCGCCCCGAATGCCCGGCCCGGCGAGTGCCCGAGCGGCGGGGACAGTGCGAGCCGAGGGCATCGGCGTGGTGGTGTTGGCGCGCGGCCCCGGGAGCACCATGGCCGAGCTGCTGCGGAGCCTGCAGGATTCCCAGCTCGTCGCCCGCTTCCAGCGCCGCTGCGGGCTCTTCCCGGCGCCGGATGAAGGCCCCCGCGAGAACTGCGCGGGCCCGGCGGAGGGTGCGGCGCGGGGGCTAGCGCAGCTCCCTGCGGCCAACGGCAAGGGCGGCCGGGGGCCGGCCAACGGGCTGCGGAGACTCGCGGCCCCGCAGGTAACCGCGGCCAGGTGTTCGCCGGGGTGGGGGAGGGGGCAGCCCGCGCCGCAGCCGGCGGACGTGCGGGTCCCGCGGACTCCGCGACGCGGGGACGGGCGAGCGCCATCCCCGGCGGCGACCCGGCTCCGGGCGCGGGGTACGGAGGGCAGAGGGGGCGGGGAGTCCAGTCACCAGGACGCCACCTCTACCGCTGCCAGGTAGCACCCCCGTCCGTTCCGACATCACATGCACCCGGAGCTTTAGATGCATCTAAAGACTTTCTCCCTTCCTAAGTGAAATTATGTTCCTGAGCTTTCTCCCAAATGTGTAAGAGTTACGTAATTGAAAAGGGGAGGGGAGATGTCCTTGGCGTTTTCGCGAGAGGCTTCTCTGGGGAGAAATTGTGAGGACTCCCGCAGGATTCAGGAGTTTCCGCCCCATCCCCCTTCGCCTGATCCGCACTCGAGGGGTGTAGCAGGGCTCGCTGTGCCCTTCACTGTCCTGCATTTCCAGCTCTGAGGACGGAACTTAGGTTTTCACTGCTCCTGGAGAGATCTACAGACTGCACCCCCTACCAGCACCGGGGCAGAAACCCCATCCCCGTCCTGCCCAGTGGGTCTCTTGTAACGGGCACCAGGGACTTCTGACAGATGCAGTCGAGAGAGAAGCTCGCCGCTCTCCCCTCCAGGCTTTCGGAGTGTGGTTATACAACCCACTGCGGCTTTGGGGAGCCGGCCTGGCTGTCATCGCGGTGCAGGGACTCCGGGCGAGAGGGACAGGCTGCAGACGCTAGCGTGCCAGGGCCGCGGGAGGGCTCTCCGCATGGGCCCTGGCCACCCACAGGAGCTGCCCTTGCCCTGGGAGAGCTCAAAGTGTGGCACCAGAGGAAGGAAGCAATGTATTGACGATTCCAGCTCCTTTTGTTGAGGGAGGGGGGAATGAAGAGCCGTTTTGGTGACAGGAAGGTGGCATTCATTTACGTGTGGATTTCCAGATCTCCTAACTGAGGAATTACGAAGAACCTGGCTTCAGTGTGGGATGGCATATTGCCGGCATTGAATTACAAAATTTATTTGAGAGGGTGAGGGTGGGGTGTGTGCTCCATTCTAGAGAAATCCTCTATAATGTTCCTTTTTTTCTTTATTGTTCCTTCTCTGTTCCACATGACATCTAGTAACTTTTAGGTGAGTTTGAGACCCGCCCACCCCCTTTCCCTTTTGCCTTGTCTTAAAAATGGGACAGAGTGAGGAGCTAAGAACCAGTCACATACCTGAAATGTGGCAGAGCATCTTCTGAGCACACACACGTACACACTGTTTAACACACGGGTAGATGCACGGGCTGCTTTCTGATGCCCTCTCCCCACACTCTTCCTCTGTTCCTCCAATTCAGGAAGCTGAAGCAGGGTGCATTTTCCCACTAACACTTTTCAGACTGTTTTAAACATTACCTGTGGTAATGAAACTCAGTTCTGGAAAAGGATCCTCTTGCCCGTTAAAAGCAAGATAAGCAGATGTTTTGCAGAGAAGTGACTTCCACCCTGCTTAAAAAGCCTGTGCACTCAGCCACATAGTAGGGGTTTCTCTCCTCCCATCCAACACACGACCTTACTCACTATAGACCATGAAATACTAAGAGGAAGCTAAAAATTCACAGTAAGAAGTCATTGTATTGGTGCATGATGGGAGGAAAAATAGCCCAGGAGAGCATTTGATACATGAGAGCTTAATGAATGTTTTTAAAGGTGGGTCTGTTTCAGGTGACTTGGGAAGATTAATATTTTGCAAATACAGGGAGAATTCAAAAGGAAACATTGCATACCTGTCCCGCATAATTAATAGCACTCTAAGGGGACAGTTTTAATTGCTCCTGGAGAGATCTACAAACTGCACCCCCTACCAGCACCGGGGCAGAAACCCCATGCCCGTTCTGCCCAGTGGGTCTCTTGTAACTGGCACCAGGGACCCAACAAGCTATTCTTCCCTGTGGGCTCTGGCCTCTGCCCAGCCCATGGCTGGCCTGAGCCGCCTGTCCTTTCTCCAAATAACCCCACTCATCCTTCAGTTTCAAAGGTCAGTTCTTCAAGAGACACTTTTGCTCACCTTCGAGTCTCGCTCCCCCTTTTAGAGGTT